CCCACTCTTCCCCTCCCCTCTCCCGCCTCACCCAAAGGTGTCCGATGCCGCGATATTTGACAACCTTAATATCTAATTTAAATTATTTGATTTATATTATAGTTAACTTTGATAAATAACGGTTGCCATTGCTGAACTAAAAATAAACGATAGTTCTGTCCTTTTGTTTTTATATACTCTTTTGGTGATTATAGACGCGGAGATCGACACAAAAACATTTCGCTTGGCTTTTTAGATGAAGCAAGTAAGCAAGCTAAGTGTAACATATCATTGTAAAATTGAAAACTGCGTAATGTTCGGTTAAGCCGTTTCTAAGATTATTATAAACGAATTCACACTGTTTATAGGTTTGGATTAGTTTTCATAGTCAAATAACTTAATCACACTGTCAATAACTTTTGCAACATATTGAACAATACATAAGTAAACAAACAAAGTCAGTTGTGACAAAATAAACAAAGTTGCTATTTTTTAAATTACAATATAATTGAAAAAAATATTTTTTAGAATGATTAAAAAATTTTTTACACCTACAGTTATAAGTGCTAAGTAATTATTTGAGCGAAAAAAATATATAATAAAAATGCTGAGCGAATTTACATCAAGTCATAAATGAGAAAAATTAGAAACTTACAACTTCACTTACTGACAATATTTTTTGATCATATCAATATTTTTAAAAAGCAAAAAAAAAACAATTTATGTTAAAAAAAAAAACAAAAAAATGCTATGCTTTTTTAATTTTTTACATGCGAATTATCGAATGAATGATTACGCTGTCGAAAAATATAATATTATGTACGATAAATGTGCGCTTTTGCTATGGTATATAACAAATTGGATATTTTATAACACACGTATTGCAAAAAAAAAATATCACATTTAAAATTAAAGACAATATCAGATTAAAACAGAGCGATAGTAAATAAATATCATGAGCCAAAAGGCAGTGATCTAACTATGCATTTAGATATGACTATATAAATGCCAACCAATAGCGACAGTATATAAAATGAAAATCAAATAGGCACAAAACAACACCGCTTCTAGCCTATCCAGTGGAACATTGATCCTATTCAGTGCTTGCAGAGTTTTAACCTTACCCTCACATTGTGTCCTGATATCTAAAATTATATTTGCAGCGTGTTGCGCGAACTTGCGAGCGGCCATAAAGTTTGGATGATATTATACCTGCTGTTCTAACGATATAGTGCAAAGCGAAGTCGCACGAGCAGTTTTGATTCCTAATACACAGTTGCGAAAGCGAACTCAAAGTGAAAAAAGGCAAAGCGCTTTGAATTTTAATACAAAAAATGTTTTTTTTATTTTAAAAATTAAAAGCAGATGAGTATTAATTACTTTGATGGCAATTTATTTTAAATATTATAAATTTAGTAATAATATTTACTTTTGAAGCGAATCCACGTAAATAAAACCAATAAAATAAATATGATAAAATATAGCTCAGCAAACATACTTATGAACAGAAAATAGCACAAAAGAGAAAGTTTGACGAAAACAGCCTTAGTTCCAATTTTGTCCATGAGCTAGTAAAGTTTGTCGCACTATATACCGTGTACTATTTGCGCGTAATTTGGCGAATGTTGCTTTGGCTATTGCGCGGCAACTATTTCTAAAAAGAATGTCTAATTTCTTGTAATCTCCTCTATAATGTATTTTAAATTATTTGATTTCAAACATTATTAACTCTACAAAATGCGAAATGCTGCGATGTTTTATATTGTTTTTTGCTTTTTGAAAAATTTTGTAAATTAAAAAAAAACTGAATTCAATTTCCCTTATTTTTATTACATTTTATCTAATTGGTAAATGTTTTTAATATACAATAGCTGAAGGCGGTTTTGGCTGCATAATTAAATTTTAGCTGTGCTTTTGCGTAATTACGATTAAAATATTTTATCTTATTTATTTGCACATTTTGCACTTTTTCATGCATTATTATATATTTCCTTATGTTTTATTTATTTATTGACATAGAATAAAAAACATATGAACTAATGACGCGACTTTCAGTTAACTATATATAAAATTTGTAAGTCTGTATGTATTTGTATAATGGCATGCGTGAATTATAAAATGATAAAAAGCATATGCAAAATGCACTTTATTCTTTTTTGTTGTCGTTTTATTTTAAATGGATTTAAAACATAAAAAAATAACTACTAAAATATGTTGCAAAAATTATGACAGTGTTGGTAAGGGATGACTTTGTATTATATTTTTTTTATAAAATTATAACTATACAATATAATATAATAAGTAATAACAATAGTAATATTTTTTTAATGATAAATAACAAGTTAACTAATTTTTGATAGTATTAAACAGCACCTGGATGACCGACCGCTTTGCTCGGTATTTTTTTTAATTGTGTTTTTTTGGAAATTATATTTAAGTAGGAATTACTAATAAAATGATCAAATATAAATAATATTTTTCGATCTTACCGATAGAAATAGTTAAGTTTATGTTTAAGTTGATTATCGATAAAACACGAATAAAATGACATTTTCTAAAAATGATTCCTAGCTAGATCAATTTATCGCCCCCGAAACCCTTTATATACTAAATTTTATTATATGAAAAATATATACAAGAATTGCTCATTTAAAGATATAAGATTAATGTTATATTAGCCGACCATTGATCGAACGAAATTTTATCGTAGTACTTAATTATTTTTTTTTTCATTAAAAATAGCTTTATGCAATTCTCTACATAACCTATATATATTTCACGTTTACAAGTTCGGGTCAATCTCTTTAAAAAAAAATCGCGTAATCCAATAATATTCTGATGATATAAAAATTGACAAAGCAAACTGATTTATTTTGTGGAAAAGTTGAGTCTTTAAACATATTAAAGTACGTTCTTTATATTTTCTAAACTCAACTAAAAAAAATATCATTAATTCAAATAACATACATTAGATTTACATTTTTTTGATTTTACATTATATTGTGCAATAGTATTGTTTCAATTTTTAAATTGAAACAATACTAAACGAAACTTCTAAGTAGGTGGCGCCACCGCCAAGAATCCGCTGTTATCTGTCAAAGTTTTCAAACGTCATTCTCGCGATTTTTTTTAATAAAAATTATAAACGTATCGTTTACTGTCTGTGCCGGAATTTAAAAAGGAGCTCCGAAGTCGGAATCCATTCACAACTGCAAAAAAAAATGTGAAAAATTAAAAAATATATTTACTATTGATTTTTTTTAGTGAAATTTGACGGAAGTCGTAGCTTCTTATTGTTTTAATGTAATCAGATATAAAAATTTATTGTTATTTTATTATTAATCTTTGAAGTTTAATTTAGAGTTTAAATACTATTTTCGTCAGTGATGTAAATAAGAATTATTGAGACAAAGTACCAACACTTGTTTATTTCAAACGACCCTGGATTATTCGGTCCCCTGTCGATCTCTGTCTGCATGAAACAAGTATAATGAGGAATATATGAATTTCGAATAGATGTCGGCTGGTAAACATCATTTAATATTCACAATCTGACGACATCCTTGTCCTGATTCGTTGTTATTTTGTTCCAAGAGCTGTTAAATATTAATTCGTTTAGTAAACATATCCTTCAATTTGAGTGGGATCATTTTTCAACATCGTACGATGGAAATTTCCATTATCAGATTGCCAACTGCGTCGTATTCAAATTGGCTGTACGATCATACGATGTTTACCTGATTCGCAAACTGAAACGATTCCAGATTTCACAATATTAAAATTAATTGCGCTAACAAGGTTTATTCCAAAAGTTCTACGTATTTCGTACTTTTCGTTTTTTAATCTTACTAATATTATAAATGCGAATGAATCGTTGGATGGATGTTTGTTAGAAGGTATCTTCAGAACGACTGCATCTTGTTGTATGTTTGGTATAGATATATAGCATAGTCTGAAAAAAGACGTAAGGTAATAATTAAGTTTTTTTTAATACCGTGTGGACGGAGTCGCGGGCGACCACTAGTATGTATATAATATAAAAGAGTCAACGGATTGACTGCCAACTGACTATCAACTGATATATTAACACACAGCCGAAACTCCTGGGCATAGGCTTGAAAATTTGACATAGATTTTTGTAGCAGCCGAGCACTACATAAATATTTTATTAAATTCATCTCCTAAAGGTCTAAAGTGGGAAAGTTTCTATAGAATTGATGGAAAAGAGTTTATGGTGATAGTACGTTGTAGATTTTGAAACGCGGACGAAGCCGCGGGAAATAACTAGTCATCATATAAATGTAATTAATATATTTTTATAATATCGATTTTAGTTAAAATCTGTAAGTTCCCTGGCTTGTAAATATATTATTCTTGA